AACGACTAATCGTGCCGAAAACTATTAAGTCTTAGTAACTAATATTAGTAATAATAATTATTAAACATACTTACGTAAATAATACATTTTTAATTAAAAAAAAAGTTTAATAATATTAATTTAAAATTAAAATGTATAGAAGTATTTTTATCTGAAATTAAAATAATTTATTATTATATCGATTTCTATGTTTATTCTTATTGAAGTCCACTAAACCTATAAATAGTAATTTCGATGGAAAACTATTTGAGTAATTTGGACGACGGTCGCCGTTCAGTGGAACCGCCGCGGCCGCCCGACAGTTACAATCATAACAATATTATTTAATGTTTATGATGGATGGACGGAGGGGGCCGCGGAGAAAAACCCGTATAATATGTGTATAATATTATGCTCTATTGAACCGCCATTCACAATACCTATATTGTGCCGTGCCTTTGTTAGCCTATTGTACTACAGTCTACAAGTGTAGTACTGTACGCCGTCATAATTTATTATTATAGAAACTGTAGAAGCTAATTAAATTTACTCGCGAGCAGCTACTGGATAATTACCGTAGCCAGGGCACAGATATAATATAGATATCAGAATCTTAAATATTATATTTAAACAACTCCATTTATTACCACATATTTAATTTCGTTTCAGTTATTATTATTGTCTACTAAACACTTACAAATTATTAATAATCGCAAATATGTAAATTACGTTCAATCATACTATAATATGTGTAGTCGTACGGAGTTCAGTATGTGTAGTGCGTTGAAGTCTACAGCGAACTAACTTACTTATATAATATTATGGTGTGCGTTGGCCATAAAGGCCTTACAATTATGTGTGTGCAAATATTATTGTATCGGTCAGTAGCTGTTTGCACATAATTTATAGTTCGTATCATATTATAATAAGTAAATAGGTGTCATGTTACATATTTATATTTATAATTGTTACGAATAGCTTAAATGACAATATCGACATGTAATGACGTAGGTAGGTAGAGGTATATTTTAATAAACGGATATTATACTTATCGAAAAATAATACGATTTATAATAATAGTATTAATAATATATAATCGCTTGACAACCAATAAGTGTTCGATTTTAATTTCGACTGTTATCCAAAATTCAACGGAATTAATTTATTCTCTATTATAAGGGTGTAAATATTTTAAATTTTCAGATACGAGGCTCTTTTAGAGAAATACGCGTCATATGCGTAAGTCGTATATTATATATTATAAATGTTATACCAAAATCTACACGTCTTAAAAACGGCCACGTGTAGTTTTCTTTAGAAACAGCGGAGACAGTCTATCGTTTATAGTTTATACGAATTTTAATGGGACCCTTTTTCGACCCAATTAATTGAACATTCACTATAATATTAAATTATATAGCAGGGGTGGCCAAAATCGTTTCGATTACGTTCTGCGGAGAGTATGTTTTTCGTGTTTCAATACTGTATCAATGAGCTCATGTACACATAGTGAAAATAATTTGTATATTATACGCCACTGTGTCCACCCTATATACGTGTATACACGACAATAAAATCAATGGCAACCACCTTTTTCAACCCATGTCAAATCGACGCACGGTGCAATATAATATACTTAGTCACCCCTCGTGCCTACTCCTGACGTATATATAATATAATTCTGGGAATCGATGAGCGATGGCGAGGTGGACGAGTGGTATTGGTTGTGGTGGTGTACTGCCGAATAAAAAAAAAAAACAGTTTTACTTTAAAACGCACATAAGTTTTACTGGCTCGGTGGGTAGGTGTGTCGCTGTAATAATAATATTATTATCGTATAGGTATACACATCTATATAGCATTGTGAGTGCGTTTGGCACGATTTCAAGGCCGATCGAGACGGCGTCCGCACCGACGTCAATTATATCAACACAGCGATATTATCCCTAATGATGAGTGGGGTATGTGTGAAATGTATGGGTTCGCGTTCAGGTTTCGAAAAAAAACACTTAATAATACATTATTCTCGACTGTAATTATTATTGTTAGGTATTTACTAATATTTCATTGGATGTTAACACGGTTATAATACAATTAATTTAATGACAGAATAATTTCTCTATTAAAATACTTTTGAAATGTTCCCAAAATATTGGTGCCTAATTGTTTTTAACTATAACTGTATGGATATTTAATAAGATTATTTACCTAATACCACAGGCGTCTAATATATTTTATTGTACAGTTTACAGTTTAAATAACCTACCAAGGCTTTGAAGGATCGACCTTAAATTCACCGAAAGACGACCAAACCGACGGTACCCGCAGTTTTTCTTGATTCTACACCTGTGGTAAGTATCTACATTGCTATATTTTAGACTTAAGTGCGGGTGCAATAATTTTTTTGGTAAAATTTCTTGCTCCCGTTAAATATATAATGCAGAATGATTTAATTAACAATGCTAGGATTGCCACAAATTTTAATTTACTTAAATCGGGACAAACGTTTTTCCTACATAAATCTCATGGGAAAAATCTTACTGTCAACCACTAATTTTAACGTCATATTTCAACATAAGTATGTTTTGGGCTGGTACACGGAAAAGATTTAATATAATATTATAGTCGAACCAATTATGGTAAATATAACGATTTAATAGGTAAAATAACTAAAATGATTTACTTATTATGAGTTATGACTATATAAATATAGTTATTTTTTATGGTAATGTTTACTATATTTTATAGTTAATGCAGTTTTTAATATTTGAATTAATTAAAAAGTATAGTTAAAATAGCATATTTTAGTGACTACAATCACTACGCTCAGTAGGATGTTCCAATTTAAATATTAATAGCAGATTTGAATTCTTATCTAAATGTATTTGACTGTCGTAGATTTTTCATGTTCTATATAAATGTATTTAAATTTAAATTATGAATATGATCAATTTTAACTTTTTTTATTAGTAAATTTCTTAGTAAAAATAATAAAAATCAGAAATATTAATGTCAAAGCATAGATAATTTAGTGACGAATTCAAATCTGCTTTCAAAATTAATATCAGATATTGGGAGTGGTGATTGAAGTCGTGAGGTATGTTTTCGACCGAAAATAGTTCTTCTAAGTATCTACATATTAGCACATTACAAGATCAATTTTTTTAGTGAAAAACTTAAATACAATTTTTATAAAAAAAACAATTTTTTGTGTTAAGTGCTCTAAGACCACTAAAACGCTCTAATAATATTAAAAAGACGACCATAAAGGTTAAAATTTTATTGAGTACCTACTATAGTACTATTTTCACATAGTTCCTTTTCACATTATATACCTGTATAGCATTAATTCATCAATCATTCATCAATCAATTACAATTAAACGATGTTTTAACTTTTTGGTTTAACTATAATAAGATATTTCGGCACCGATACTTGGCTCTTACAACCGATAATATTAAAAATGCTACCTATTTTAAACTATATTTTATAATATTAAATTACCTGCTTTTATCGCATACCTACGTCAAATATTTATTGCTCTATTTGTAGTTGTAATAACCACATAATTAATGTCTAATTATGGCTGAGAAGCATCAGCAGAATAACTGTCACTCATCAAAAGACGAACTATAAAATGTAGTTTAATTTTTTGCTTAATAATATGTAAGTAGGTATTTCTTTATTTTAGAAATTGGTGGTTATTTCACTGAATGTACCTATAAATAACATTTATTCAATTATGATCGGGTATTTTTTAGAATAAAATATTTTACTGGCTCATATTTTTAAAATATTATTATCTTACGAATTAATTAATTTTCAATTTTAGTCATAAGTTCTAAGTTAGTAATAACAACAATGTAATATAAAACGTTAATTTACGAAGTGTTCGTTTTTGCCCAAGGTACGAATAAACTGTCTTATTGTTCAAATTAAATAATGTGTTAAGTTTTTGGTTTAATAGAAATAACTAATAAGATATTTTTAATCCGATACTTTTCTCTTAAAATCGATAGTGAGATATTAAAATACTGCATAAAATTATTCCCAAAATGTTTGATTAAAAATACCACAGAAATATAATATTCAAAAAAGTCTTGTAACGCTATGTGAAGGTGCCTCTGGTGATCTATGTCACCTAATTGCAATTCTAAAATAAAACGTAATTTCTCTTGATAATATTTCTAAAGTTACGCTTAGGTATACCTCGTTTTTTTCTTTCGTTTTGATCCCGCTTTAATAAAATAATAGATATTGTAACAGATTTGAATCGAATCAGTTTTTTTCGTAATTAATTTAACATGCAAATGTATAAAAGTACCTAGGTGCCGAGACCTACCTACATATGAATAAACCGCGCTATCATATAAAATAATATGACTACATTTTCACCATAAATTGCAGTTTAGAATCGTTTGTAATATTACGATTCAATAATGTATATGAACGACGGCTATACGCCGTGATTAAAAAAATAGATAAATAAATCCAATACATTATTTTTATACCTGTTGTATTATGGGTTGGCCTTACACAATAAGCATACCTCGCTATAGCCAATGGGCGACATTGGACAACCCTTTCACTAGACACTCAACACTCTTTTTGAATTATAATCGAATAATATAGGTATATTTGAAACAATTTTTTTCTAAAAAGGATCTACTATCTATACCTACCATTTTAGCAAAATGATAACTTAACCTAACCGTTCCTCAATTGTCAACAGTCTGTGTTTATTACAATATCGCCAACGTATACACTATCTAACACCTTATAAATGTTTACTATTTTAATTTTGATATCTACCTACTAACTATAATACGTGGAAGATAGACGTTCCACTTGCTCGTTGTTTTTACCATTTGCACGACTATAAAACAGTGAATTAAAAAAAAAAAAAAAATACAAAAATACAAAAATATATACTTTCTTCTATAACTATTCTCTTTATGATGAAGTTTATATAATTAACTAATAATCAAATGTTTTTTCTGTCCAAAATATTCAGTGCAAAGATGAGGAACTGCATCATAAAACAAAGTGATCCTACAATTGGGGATTACTTCATTTGCATCAGGTGTAAGCATTTTATGTTGTCAACAGTTACCGCCGAAGCTCATAAAAAGTGCACCAAGAGACTGTTCAAAACGTAAGTATAAATTAATAATTATTAAATCTATTAGGCCATAATTAGAAAAACAACTGCATCGTGGTGGCGGAAAGAGTGGTTCTTCGAAAGTTCGAAACGTCTGGTTAAATTGTCTTAGTTTTGTAGGTACCATTATTAGCTCGGGTCATGGGCAAACCATGCTATAAGTATAAAGTAATATATATATACAGTGTACTGATTCGAGTAACTCGATCCTTGATACCTCGAGATTCTCTACATCTCGAACAAATAAAGTTTCCTTCGAATAATAATGACACATTGAGATTTTGATAACTCGAAATTTAGTAATATTAGTCATTCGAATTTCTGTGACCATCGAGTTATACAGAGAGTACACTGTAAATAATTTAATTCGAGTTTATTAGCTATGATATTATAGTGTTTTAGATTCTGATGTGTGTTGTGTGTCATTTTTGTTTTTTGTGTCTGTGAACACGATAAGTTATTGAAATAATTCTTCGATTTTAAACTTCAGTAATTTTTCTGGTAGGAAGGTCTATAATTTGGTGCTTTCGAGAGGTTAATAATATATAGAAATTCAAAATCATTTTTCGACGACCAAATCGAATTTGGTTTTTAGTTAAACCATAAAAAAAAAGAACTGTTGTTACATTAAATGTTCACCGAATGTTCACCAGAATTTTAACAAAACCGAAAGTTTGGTTTTCAATAGCGGTTGAAGCGTTCGAAAGCGTTCTTTTTCCGTCCAGCGGGTGGGAAAGTGGCAATCCCTAACAGTGCCGGGCGATAAAGTGGAAATCCCAAAATTGCCGGGCTCACATATCGTTATATATTCGTGACAAAAAATAGTAGTGTGGCTCGAGTGGGAAGGCCATTTTAGTCTTGAGCAAAATGCGGCCCTCGCCCATAATAAATATGATGTAAGTACTATAATTTTTTTTTTCCTAGATTTGAACCGAAAGAGCAATTATACCGATGCTCGTCGTGTGGTCGCTACTTCGACGAAATGAGCCCATGGTATAATCACGACAAATTACACAAGGTGCTTGGAACTTACGATCCTAGCAAGTTCGTAGTTAAAATAGACCAAAATAATTTTGTTGTCAATTAAAGTGTTTGATCTTTTTTCTTTGTAAGAGCTGTGGATTTTAGTGTTATTGTTTTTTTATTTTTTTTTTATCATTTTACAGTCTGCTAACTTTAACAAAAAGACATTATTTATATTTTATATTTAGCATTTTTTATTATTTTTATATGTATATTTAACATTTTGTATACTCCAAAGATATAAATGTAAATAAATAAAATGATATTCTATTATTTCATCTTTACTTCATATAGTTTTCTAGCTTTTTGAATAGAAACTCCCGAAGTATAAAAACAAAATTGTCATGAAATCACGATAAGCTTAACAGTTGACATACGTGAGCGGCTTGACATATTATCATAATATTGTCACAGGGAGCTTTCCTTTATAGATTTAGGGCTTAAGATAAAGGAAGCACAGAAGAGACAGTGAAATAACTCAAACCCTGAACACGGATAAGGCAGTAGTTTTTTTTTTGGCACTAACTATAGGTAAGTGTGATGGGTGCAAGACATTATAGTTTAAAATAGACGGTGATCAAAACAATTTGGTCGACGGTGGCTAACTATTCGCTGAGACAGGTAGGTATGAAAAAATGTATCAATCTTTGACTTGGATATCTTTTCTGACAAGAATACAAATATATTTGGTACGGAGTTGAAACTAAAATATGCACGGTACGTTTCTCAATAATTGGGAAAACAAAAAATAATATTGAAAAACAGGAATACGCAAAACCAGTTTTCTGCAAAATCAATTATTTTATTTTGTTTTAATAATTTAGTTTGTTTGATTTTAAGTGTCAATAGTGCAGTGGCGTCATTCCAGTTTATGAGAGGAGTTTATGACCGGCCCAAAACTGAAAAAAACTGAAAAAAAAACCGATTGCTAACAATTACAGTACATTACATTAAAAATTGCATTTTTATATGAATACAAATAGCCATCTTACATAATTTTATACTTGTTAGTTACTATTAAAGGTTACTATCATAAGCACAAGTAACCCATTTTGTTGGTTATAATTTTGTACCCATTTCGTTGGTTGTCTATAATCTATATTCATAACAGGTACAAATGTAATGTATTTTAATTTTAATTATTATTAATAATTATAATTAAAACAAATTATTCCTGTATAATTAGATATATAATATAATATACATATTATTTTTCCATAGGTATCTGTTAATATATAAAAATTATATGTTAATTCTGAAGCTACTTAAGATCTAGAATCTGAATAATCTATTACATTAACTATTTAAATAATGTATTCATTTTAAAATTAATATCTTATAATTTTTTCTTTTTATTTAAATATCCCAAATAAAATTAGTAAGTAATATTGACAACTTTAATATACAATTAACTTAAAACATAAAGAAACAGTAATAAAACATAGTTACCTATTATTCATGTATAGCTACTTCTTAGCAAGCTTCAAAAAGAGTAAAATAAATATTTTTACAATCATCTGAATCTGTTCAATGTGTGGAAGACAAAAAAGAAAAGTTTAATTAAAAAAAAATAATACTCATAGTGATAGCAGTGGTACTGGTAAACATTTATTTATAATTCAACATAATATTTTTATGATTAGGTACCTACTTATAAGAAGTATGAATTGTATAAGTTGATTAATTTCCATTAAAAAAAATACAATAGCATTTAATTTAAATTAAATTTGAAAATAAAAATTCATTTTTTATTTATATCAAAAATTTCCATTTTCTAATAATTATAATATATTGGTTCTTAAGTTTTATTTCTGTCCTAGGTTAGTTCTACTCTTTTCTGGCTTGAGGATTCATATCATCAAATCATCGATCATTTATGAAAATTGATGGCTTTGATTTTTTAACCTGAAAATCAAACAAACATAGTTAGTAATTAAAAATAAAACTGAAGCAATTATTGGGTTTTTTTTTTTTTTTAATACTATTATTTAGTATATCTAACAGCTATGACTTAAATTGTTTTTATTATGAATTAAAATCAACATTTCTAACTTCGAATGACGGATTAACGGTATAGTTTTAACACAGATTTCTATATATTACTAGATAGCGAACTCCGGTCATGAATTGAAGCCTCAAGGTCGGTTGGCAATTGCATGGTATTTCATATGACAAATAAGATGATATTATAATTTATTTTATATCGTATTTTATTATTTTTAAACATTTAGTTTACAAAAAAAAAAAAATATTTTATATAAGTCATTTTACATTTACTATTTATTTGACCGTTAAAAAAAATATTATTCCTAATACATTTTGTATAATAAATGAAATGTTTTGCCAACGGACAAAATGGCGGCCGTTCACAGCTGAGCTTCACTTGTAACAATGTAAATTGTATAAGAGTTCCTTATCTAGTGTAGTATAGAAGTCTGTGAGTTTAATTTTCACCCGATAACATTACCGAGTACATGTTATTTTAAATTATAGAACTCAATTCACAATTAAATTGATACGAAAAAACTAACCAATGACAACAATGACAACCACCATAGAAATTTGTTTTTATAATATTACATAAAATATTATGTTCTAAATAATATACCGTATTTTAACAACACTAGGCATTGTTATAAGTAGGTATGTGAAAAATTAAAACATATTATATTCTAAATATTTCTAATAAATATACACTGTGTTGGTTAGTGTCCCTCCATCAATTTATCAATATTATATACCTACTATTGGTGTACCTATGTAGGCAGCTATTATAGGTATTGAACTAAATTTACTAATTAACTTCCTTAATCATATATGTTAATAATACACTATACAACTTGCTTACACATATATAATATGCTAACATTATACTAATTATATCTTACAAAATGTAGGGATTTGTAGTATTCTAGAATAAATATCTAATAATTCTAGAACAAATAAAGAAGTACCTTTTAAGTATTTAAATGCATTGGTCAAAAAGGTATTGGAATACTGAAACAAGACTGGACAGTAGGTACACAATGCACTATATCCATACACACATGCATATACATAAGTCTAATAATACTAATAATTTAAATAATAATAATATAATTTATAAGACATTAAATAAGTGGTAGTATATATATACCTATATACCTATAATTATAATTAATTTCTAATATATGTACATATACATTTACTTACAACTCTACTAATACTAATAATTTAAATAATAATAATATAATTTATAAGACATTAAATAAGTGGTAGTATATATATACCTATATACCTATAATAATAATTAATTTCTAATATAGGTACATATACATTTATTTACAATCTACACGTCATTACATGTTTTTGTTGTTAAATAGATAATTTGAAAAATTATAAATAAAAAATACATTATACCTACTGTGTGCATTGCATATTTTTTATATACAATTTCTAGTTTCTATAGTTAAGGTATTGGTCAATAATCTATATATGAATGCAAATTGTGCAAGATTGCATTGGCCCCTCTACTGAAAAAAAAACTAATATAAAACTCAAAAAGAGTAAAAGTATCTTCATCAAGTATTATGTGAGCTAGGTAGGGTCATAGGCGGGTATAGTGTTTTAAGAAAGTTTATGATTCTTACACGCTAAATGCTAATTATAATTAAGATTTATACAAATATATTATATTATATAGTTTATATTATATAGTTTATGCTTTTAAACCAATATAGTAAAGGTACCTACTCATGGTGTATAACCTATTCTAACTAACTTCCATAATATAGGTACTCTTAAGTCTTAATGCATACTATAGTATGTACCTACGTATAAACAGACACTTGGGTTAAAATTAATATAGTATGTCCTAAATGATATGGTAACTTCTCTATTAATTTCATATTGTATACATATACACTAAACAGTAAGTATACGTATAATATATAATATTATATTATTGAAAAATCAGCACAAGTATGAATTGTCGAAGTTATAACTTGTATTGCCTTTTTTAATAAACTCAAAGTTAAATACGTGATATTAAAATGTAAATATAAAAATATCCATAAATATATAAAAATGCAAGACGTATAGATAATTATGCAGTATGCATAGGTACATATAAAATATAAAAAACCCAAAATATTTATAAAATGCATAATTCAGTTATGGTGGTGCTGGGGTAACGTTACCCTGATACCCCATCTGGAAAATTGATTTTTCCTAGGGGAAGTATTTAGGTACAAATTCTGAAAATGGTCGTACTAATCGGTACAAATTATAGTACAATTAATGGAAAAAAAAA